TCTGAACCAGTTCAGCAGTTTCGGTGATTCACTTTGTCGACTCATTCATTCATTCATTCATACGTCTGTGGCTCTATAGCTCTTTATTGGACCTTGGCCGCTTGTATAGTTAATTAATTTTTCACACAGTCGGTAGGACTCGCTGGACCCGTCGCAAGGCCGCTACCCGTATACAAGAGAGCACAAGCACAGAATAGATGCATACAGATATTCAAGCCTCAAGTGGGATTCGAAGCCACGATCCCAGTGTTTGAGCAAGCCTTCCACCGCGTGGCCACTGTGATCGGCATTTTGTCGACTGGCAGGCGTAAACTCCCGTCATACTTACTTTTAGGAAGTTCTTGCAAAGAATTCATAAGAATATTCTGAATTCCTATACGATAGGCTGATAAACTTCATTCTTTGAGCAATTTGAATTTAAGTGCGTTGAGTTTTGAATAATTAAACAGAGAGAACATCTAGGAATGCACAAGTAAATTAATCGAAATTGGTATTTAGTATCTAATTTTATAACACCGTATTAACTGGAGAGTTTAGTAGTGTCACATGAAACATGGCAAGAAATTAGCAACCACAGTGTGTTTTAAGACATTTCTGAACTTCCTTGGTGGGAATGGAAAAACCCTAGAAGTCAGTAAGTACAGAGCGGGGTCCCCGGCCGTGGATTCGAATTGAGTATATTCCGAAAGCGAGTTTGTTGCGTTGCCGCTTTTCAGTTTTTTAATCCTATACACAGTCAGTGGGACTCCTTGGACGGGCGATCAGCCCGTCGCAAAGCCTCTACCTATACAAAGAACAACACATACACAGAATAAGCGCATATAGACATCCATGCCTCGAGTTGGATCCGAACCCACGATCCCAGCGTTCGATCGGACAAAGACTGTTCATTCTTAGACCGCGAGGCCACTGTAATCGGCCGTCCAAAATTGTACATCAATAATGATAGCGTCATTAAATAACCTTCTTAAAAAATATAAAAATCAACCGTTGCTGCAAATCTTTAGAAAAAACTGTAACGGATCGGACGTTCTCGCAAGGGTGACTACGAAAATTACTGTCTTCTGGAAGATGACGAGATGTAATCTCTAGAATTCTGAAGGAACGTCAATGAACTACCAGACTACATGGCATCATACACAAGAACACAATACCCTTTTAGAAAGTCGTTTAGTAAAGAAATCCATACTGACCGGAAGGCCCATTCTTTCATAATACGGGCGCGTCACTGTGTTTGGAGAGCCAAAAGGATTCTTAGACAGTGATTTGTGCGTCAATTTGTAGGGGTCGCGTTCAGTATTCGAGGCAGTCTTCTCGACGATAACCTTCTTTACTGATTCGGTTAAGACACGAGTTCCTGTCAAGCTATCTGTCTATCATATTCAGTCGTGATGTGGGTGCTCTAAGTCTGTGACTTCCAAACAGAGCATACTAAAATTTCCACAGTCTGTTCCCCTTACAAGGCCTTTTCCGGGATGGAAGCAACGAAGGTGTAAATATTTGAAACTTGAAAAACTGTCTACAGGAGATACATTTGTAAAAAAAAAAAAAAAAGTAGGAATACTTGAAAAACCTAGTTTTAGACTGGAGGATGGTATTAAAATTTATATTTCAGAAACAGGATGTGTGGATTTTGACTGGATTCATCTGCTTCAAGATAGCATCCAGCGGTGGGTCCTTATGAACACGGCAATTAAATTTTGGATTCAATAAAAGGTGGCAATTTCTTGACAAGCTGAGCGACTTCTAGCTTTTAAGAAGGATTATTCTCCATATAGTGACTCAGTAATATTAATAAAACGAGGTTTGTTTATGCATGCGCCAGATGTTAGTGCTTTCCCTAAGGCAAGCACACGGAGTCACGCCCGAGTGTCTGCTTATTATCTTTTGAATGAAGTCACCAAAATTTCATTACCCTTCGGATTATACTTATCGCACTGTATTTTTATCCATATTTCTTAATTATTTAACTACGCTGCATCAACTGTGAAATTATGCTGCGTCGAATAAAAAGTGAAAATACGTATCATGCCTGCGGAATCTGGAGAGGGTCAACGGAAGCTGTCGAAATCTACTTCAAAACAATACTAGAACATTAACCTGTAACGACTGAGGAAAACTACAAAAAATCTCATTGCACGTACAGTCGGAATCCCATGCGAGATTCGAACTAGGTACCTCCAAAATATAAGTCTTTTGAGTGACGAAAATAAGAAAACTCAAGCCATTTGTAGTTAACCCTCCATCTCCCCGCTAGTGTTCTGGCTTTCCTTTACTACTTCTCGAATGTCGTCGTTTCTGCGCTGTGGTCTTCTGCAGTACAATATGCAAAAGCAAGTAAGGAAGTCTTTACAACAGCCTACTCTCCGTGTAATGATATGCTCCTTAAGGGATTTCGCAAACTCGCATTTTCTAATAGCTCTTCAATTTTCCTCCCTGTCCCATCACACTAACCTCTGCCATGTGCCGTTGCAAGAAATTGTCACAAGACGGTCACAAGATGCCCATACCGAAATCACGTTCGTAATATCCAGTACAGTAAAAGTAAAGTAAAGCTATCCCTGTAACAGGCCGCGAAGGCCCATAGGGTTGTGAGACGTTGAGGGTCCCACATTATTTAGACAATCGGCTCAAAGATGGCGGTAAGTTTGTCAGCCTTACGCGCCGGCCGCGCTTTACTCCCCAGAAAAATTATTTAATTAATTCCTGGTACTCATTTCTGTTAGAAGCTGAGTCGACCCCAAGGCCATAGTGCGGCTGGAAGGATTAGCTCAATTGAAAAAAATCCAATGACCTCATCGGGATTTGAACCCGCGACCTTCTGGCTTGTAGCATAGTACCTCAACCAGCTACGCGACTGATAAAATATTTATCATTCTTTACTGCACGACGACACAATCAGAACAATATCAGACCTTAGTCAAACCAATCAGTTTACTAAAAAGAAATCTGCATAATTTTCTTGTGTTCCCTACACTCTTAATTACGGGTATAAAGGGATTTAAATGCAATTTTACTGCTAGAAGTGAACCCATACCAAGCAGTATTCTCTGTAACACGTAAGCTTACAGGGATGAAATATTTAAGACATATTTTACCCAGTAAATAAAGTTGCTAAGTATTATATTAATTAATATTGATTTTAGTACTTCATTATTAATATAAAGTATAACGGCTGAATTGTGTCATATCAAATTGAGAGCAGCAAGATTTCACAGTTTAAGTTTATGTGCATCGTAACTAATTAAAATTATCCGACTTTCTGTCTTCTTTGAACTCGCAGAAATCAATTCATTTTGTGTAAATCAAGAAGCAGTATTTAGGGTAAATTCTGCATAGTGAATGGGTGAGTATTTGTTACTCTTGTATCCATAAAGCCAGATCTGTACAAGTTGGCTTCACTGTCATAAATTCCAACGTGTGAAAGCTCTTGGACACACCTCCAAACGTTCGTGTTTAGTCATGATTGTGTTTTTAAATACATAAATAATATAGGTAGGCCTCTGATCATACAACCTATCCCCAGTGACTTTTGTTTTTAATATTATCCATCGTCCTATTTTTGTATAAATATTGTAACATATATGATAGACATGTTGCCAGGCAAGAGCTCTCTAAACACCATCCAACACGGAACAATAGATGAGGCTGTTTTTACTATGTCGTCCGCGCCGAGCAGCGGTGGAACAACGGGGTTATGCAACCTGTTTCTAAGCAACGGCTAGGTAAACACATTTCCACGTATCGACCCGTGCAATGAAAGCGGTGATGTCATCAACAATAGAGAGACGGTGATTTCCGTGGGGTCTGTGCAAAGTGCTTATAAGAGAAAGGAGTGACAGAATACGAGTCAGTCGTAAGCTGGAGGAGTGAGTCAGAAGAATTTTTAGTTCCGAGGTTCCAGAATGAGTGAAGACCAAAGAGCAAAAATACTTCATAGTGAGCTGAAGTGCTAGTTTCTGTGTTGAGAGCCGTTGCCAGGAGACGACTAGTGAAGACGAACAATTCTACTGCGTGTGCAAGGGTGAACTGGAAATTGTGTAAATCAGTGATAGCAATGTATTTAAGTGTGATTAAGAGAACTTGTAACTAAGGTGCTCATAAATCCAATCATGCGAACTAGAACCCGTTATTTTCGTCAAGTGTACCAGCCTACACGTGACAACATAATAATATGCATGTATACTAATATACCATTGTCAAGAACGTTTAGATCTTGATCTATCTGCAGACGGGGGAGTTCAGTGGGTGCTAATAAATCATCACCGTAAAGAAATAGCCTGTTATGAACTTGGTACACAGGACGTCGGATCTGAACAGACTATTTGGAAAAGGCTCAGCAATGGGAAATTGACAAGAAATTTCGAATTTCGAATATAATAAAAAAGACATTTCGATGGTGTGGACGGATTCATCTGACTCAGGAAGTCGAGGTAAAGGGCCCTCTGGTTTGACAAAATCCGGGGACTTTTCTTGACTGATCGGCGACTACTAGCAACGTCAGCCTTAGCTGCCTTTAATAAAGATGTTAAGAATTGTTTCCGTATAAAAGAGTTCATGATTGTTCTTCATATAAATCTGTTAGTCTGTTTCAAAGAGCAGTGTTTTTACTCTCAAAACGGAATTTAAACAATAGTACAACAAGTGACAAATCCAGTTAGACCTTCCTCAGTTTTAATTCTCGTAAATATACTGAAACAGTTTGCAGGAAATTGAGTATTACCTTATTATAAGGGGAAAGAAGATTGGAGAGGATTTGTGTGAGGTTTTGTGTGTATAAAAGAACAGACATAGGAACTTAAATCGGACTTTGTTGTTGATTGGCTACAGACTAACCACGCCCCAAGTCTTTTGTTTTATATTCTAAGCTAGGAGCAGGGGGTGGCTTCTTGGTGCGCAAGAAAGAAGTAATTCTCCTGAGGCTTTGTGACGTCAAATTGATGTTAGGCGAAGTAAATATAAGCGTCTGGATACGAGCAATTTGCAAGAGTTGATTTGCAGACAGCGTCTGGGGTTGGTGCAGAGAAAACCGGCGCCTACATACAGGTAAATATCTACCGATATTAACTGTAGCCATTCACAATTCAATTAGATGGAACATGGGCCGTTTATGGAGTGACGAATTCATACACAGCAGCGCAATGGTGTACTCTTTGGAGTACACGTATTAAAAGGTAAGGTAAAGCTATCCCTGTAACAGGCCGTGGAGGCCTATAGGGTTGTGAGATGTTGAGGCTCCCACATTTTCTAGACAGTCGGCCCACAGATGGCGGTGAGCTTGTCAGCCTTACGCGCCGGCCGCACTTTACCCCGCAGGAAGATTCCTGGTACTCATTTCTGTCAGAGGCTGAGTCGACCCCAGGGCCATAGTGCGGATGGAAGGATTAGGTACATTGAAAAAAAATCTAATGACATGGGGAATCGATCCCGCGACCTTCCGACTTGTAGCGTAGTGTCTCAACCACCTATGCTACCGCGTACCACCGTACATATATTCACACTCCTTTTTCTTTGTAATTCAGCACACCGCTTTGGCCTTGATGTTCCCTCATTGTGGATAATAACCTACTGCTACAAAACATATCACGTTACATACAGGCTATTAACACTGTCGTACTAAATAACGTTTTCTTTGTTTCGTTAAATATACACCACATTTAAAGTATTTCGTGTTAAGAAAAATGTATAACATTTTACTTAGAAAGTTTGAGTGGTAGATATCACTTGGAAGAGGTGGGCATAGTTGGGATGATAACAGAAAATGTACCTTGAGTGTGTGGGCCGGATTCTGTCAGCTCAGGATAGGAACCAGTGGTGACCTCTTGTAAACATGGGAACGAACCTTGCGGTTTCATAAATGGTATGGAATTTCTTGAACACTCGAGTGGCTATCATCTTCTCAAGTGGGACTCGGCCCCACAGATAACATCGTATAAAAATATTACAAGTAAAAGTTGTATACTTTAACAAGGCATATATTTTATGTTACATGAATATTTCCCAGTGGAGGGTTCTTGTGAAAAGGGTAATGAATCTTCGGGTTCCATAAAATGCTGGGAAGTCCTCGAGTAGCTGCACAATTGGCGGCTTCTCAAGAAGGGCTCAGCTCCATGAGTGAGTGACATGAATATTTCTTGTAAAAATAACAATTATTGACAAAAATAATAAAATTTATTTAAATTTCAAGAATAGAAACTATAGTGAACCATAGGTCAAAATTAAATTTCCCCCACCAACCTTCACTCTATACTGGCTTTGTCAAGTTTCGTCAAACTTGTAGGGCAGTTTCGGAAATAAAAATCGAAGACCGACGGCAAAACGTAATCACTATTCCTAGTCACTGCACGCGAATAAAAGACATTAAACTGCATAAAATATTTCCTTTCCATATTAATTTTCTTCCAACTTCTGATGCATTTTTGTGGCAGAAATAAACGCTACGAACTGATAGGGTAGGCCAAGTTGAGTATGCAGTGAAGTACTAGATTCAGCAGCTTAGGTTTTGTGATATGACGATAAACAAATAACTTCCTGATTACATTCTATATCTGTAATTTCCACGCTTAAATAGTGATGTTAATTTAGGAAGGAATTGGGAGCATATTTAATTTCTTATAATTCTTGCAATCATTTACTTCAGAATAGTTGTTCTTCTATGTCCTATTTTAAAATGTAGAAATTAAAATATCCAGAGCTACAATCTTATCTGTTGTTTTGTACATTATGCTACGTTAGAATCGGACAAGACTCTTTTGACAGAAATTTTTTAAAGTTCTTTCAGTCCCCATGAGTGGTCAACTAATACCACAAGCATACGCCACGATTTATGTTCTACTATCATCAGTACGGAATACCGTGTAAGCACTTACTTGCAGAATGTGAGGGGATGCTCTCTGACCACACTGTAATGGCGGTATAACAATTACATCTACAGTAGAATAATATAGAGTTACCTAATTCAAGATACCCACTTGTTAAGGAATTATCATTAGCTGCAGTGTGAACGAAATTCCGTTATCATAATTTAGTCTAATTTTAGAGTTAGTGGTACAGTAAACTGTATATGTTGGAACAAGAGTTATATGAGTCTAAGGTATTATAAAAATTAGCAGTTGAATCAGCAGCACATTATCATAACCTCGATCTTTAAAGTGAGGGACTTCATTTCTGATTCGGCACTTGCTGGGTACAGAGTAAAGAGTTTAGTTGAGAGAGGACTACAAGTAGATGCCCATACAATAATAAAAAAATAAGTTTCACTCCATTAAGGCTAAATCTACATTAAGGCTACATTAACGTAAATGGAGCACCTGATGATGGCACTATAGTGCCGAAACATGTTGTGAAATAACAAGTGAAATTGAGTGCACTAAGGACGGACACTGCATACATATCATGTAAGGATGATAATAATAGTAATAAACAAATTTTAAACAGGAACACAAGCTTAACATATTATTTAATTTCAGATATTTAGAAACAAAGACCATATTTCATCTCTGCGAAAAAGAAACATTAGAGCTAATAAGCTATGTGTTTCTAGAGTTGAATGAGAAGAGTTTCTTCTTTTATTCTCGTTTACAAATTCTTTTTATGTTTCGCTTGATACTGGGTAGTGGAATTCGCAAATCTAGCATCGCATTTACTTTGTTCCTGTATTTTGTTTTTGTTACTGTGCAATTCCAGAAACCAGTTTCGCACATGAATGTCCTGACGAATTGCATGTCGTGATAAAGCCTTCTCCTTTGAGGTAAGACACAACAAAGAAAACAAATTCCATGGCCTGTAGTCCGCAAGCGAACTATGTCGACCGAGCGACTGCCGCTTGTCGGCGAAGTTAGTGCCAACTTTTGCGGATAGAGGGTGTCAAGTGGTCAGCGCAACGGATCCCCACGGCCGTTAATCTCGATTGTCTAGACCGGAGCTGCTATTTCCTTGTAATACCTCCTCAATTATCATCACGAGGCTGAGTGGATCCCGTTCCAGACCCACTATTTATCAGAAAATCTGGTAGCACCGGGAATCGAACCAAGGACTTTGGATCTGTAGGCAGAAACTCTGACCACTAGACCATAGAGGCGGTCGAGGTAAAAGACACTTTATTTCATTAATTTCTTCCTTTGAAAGTGACATTTATATTAACTGAAGCGTTTAAAAATAATATTTAAGTTATTCTTTTTATACTGCAAAAACCGGGGTTCCGAGGAATGCCAATTGGGAAACACTGGTTTAATAAAATAACCACTGTTTATTCTGGGAACAAAATAAAACCCATAATGCATTCTGGGAAGAAATTTCGATATATTTCATATGCGCTATTTTTAAATACTATACCAGGCCAATAAATAAGTTCAGTTGGGAGAACGCTATTATTGTCCACACAAAGAAATGGCAATGTTTATGGTCTAGTGGACAGAGTTCCTGGCTACAGATCCAGAGGTCCCGGCTTCAATTCCCGGCGCTACCAGATTTTCGGAAAGTAGTGGGTCTACAAGGGAGTCCACTCAGTCTCGTGAGGATAATTGAGGAGCTACTTCAATGGGAAACTAGCGGCTCCAGTCTAGAAAACCGAGATTAACGGCCGTGGGAATCCTTTACTCTGACCACGCGACACCCTCTATCCGCAAAAGTTGGCAATAATTTCGCTGACAACCGGCGGTCGCTCGGTCGGTGTAGTTCGCTTGCGGATTAAAAGCCACGGAGTTTTATTTCCTCCAGCAATTGTTTCCATTTATCACGTCAATACGATGGCGTATTTACATGGCTCTTACCTCCAAATCTTTGGGTTTTTGTTGGTGAATGGCATTTCCGACTAATCGCTATTTGGTAATCATATTGCGATTTAACAGAAAATTTCTTTAAAATCCTTTTTAACATTTTAATGTTCTGAAATGTATTAATAGTGCATCAACAAAATTGTTTTGTCTGACGCTCTTCGGTTTCTGTCGTGTAACATCACACTTTCAAAGTTTTTCCCCGCTACGTACCACATATAACTACAAAATTAACCATCAAATTGTAGTAGTAGCAGTAGATTGTAGTAATATTGTCACTCGTTCCACAAATGAAGAACGAACAAACCGTTGATGTGGTAACTGGGTAATACCTTTCCATATTAGTGTGTTTTAATTGTGAATAAGTGATCATTGAAGAAAAGACATGAAGCGACACAAACTTCATGATCTAATGAGGCAATTGTCAAATTCTGAGAGGAATTTTCATCGTACTGAATCTGACATTAACATTGCATGCTTCGAATGTTTATCACGGTTCAATATATTAATTTTTAAGTAAAATCTGCATACGTGGCAGTTTACAAACTACTGAATTTTAAACTGGCTGATAAGGGATGCGCTACTTGACCGATCTGAATAATTTAGCCTTCAATCATAATCCCGGGGATACAGAAGTTAACTGTTCAGCCTATTTTGCACATTCTATAAAAAAGAACATGACATATTGCATGTGTCCCTCACTTGTAAAATTTTAACTGGCTAAGTATTTCTCAAATTCCATATCATTTACAAAAATTCGCCTCAACGTTACCCCATCCCCCTCCCCAACTAGCAAATGGTCATTGAAAATTCAACACTTACTATTAATTTAATTTAATAGTCACTCACTCACTCATGAAGCCGAACCTTTCTTGAGAAGCCGCTAATTATGCAGCTATTCATGAACTCCCAGCATTTTATGGAACCCGAAGGTTCATTACCGTGTTCAAAATAGCCCTCTA